TAACTAAACTTTGAGATCAGTTGTAATATTCATACTTACGGATTTTTTTTAATAGAGGAAAACCACCTACTTGGAGCATGAATTTTCAGGAAGCACTTAGGGGTATTTACTTGGACTAGGATTGAGAATAGGAATTAAGAGGTATTCCTTGAAGGTTAGTGTACAAGATCAAATACTTTACACAACTTAATGTGGAAGGTTTATGTAGCTTGACATTGCAGAAAACATCTTTAACTTCATTTGAAACAAGTTTGTTAGATTGTATTGTGACAGTTGTCATGTCAGCATGCATTTTTTAAAAGGTCAAAATTGATGAATTAAAAACATTTTTTTTAAGATTTTATTTATTTTTAGAGAGAGGGAAAGGGAAGGAGAAAGAGAGGGAGAGAAACATTAATGTGTGGTTTCCTCTCATGCACCCCCTACTGGGGACCTGGCTGGAAATCCAGGCATGTGCCCTGACTGGAAATTGAACTGGAGACCTGTACTTTGCAGGCCAGCACTCAATCCACTGAGCCACACCAGCCAAGGCAAAATTGGTGAATTTTTGTGCAGCCATTTTAATATTGAAGATGAAAAAATACGCAACATTTTTGGCACATTATGAATGTGTCCAAAGTGGATTGCGAAGTTTTGTGCTGGCGATTTCTCTCTGCATGATGCTTCATGTTCAGGTAGATGAGTTGAAGTTGATAGCGATCAAATTGAGACATTAATTTAGAACAATCAGCCTTATACCATGTGGGAGAAAGCGGACATACTAAAAATGTCCAAATCAATAAAATTATTGGTGAAAATGAAAAATGTGTTTTTTATTTTATGGAAAAAACTAAATGGACTTATTGGCTAATCCAATACTTTAAATTAGGGATTTGATTGGGTATTTTTCTAAATCATTTATGTTTATCAGAATATGTAACTATATTATATTTATGTAATAAAGATATTTGAAGCAGATACTGTATATGTGACGTTTTTAGGAGGGAAACTGCTTATTGAATAGATAAATTTGTGAGCTCTTAATTATTTTAAGACACAAGATAGCACCATTTAAAAGGTAAAGTTACTTAACTAAACAACTTGCATATATTTTCTTGTTATTGAGGAACCAAGGAGCTGTTATGTCAGATCAATATTTACTATGTTAGAAATTGAACTTGAAACTTTAAAGTTTTTCAGTTAATTCATTTAAAAATCACAGTAATTTACTGCATATTAATATAAATAACATTTTTATGAAAAATGACTTTTCCAAAACCAAAAAATTTAGTGAAAAAACATTGTTTTATATTGTACAAGTATCAAGGTGTGATTGAATAGTAAAAGCTGAATTCTCACATCTGCCTCTGTCATTGGTGGAAAACAAGTTCTTGTGGTATGGTGAGGAAAAGAATTTCTTGAGACCCACACAGGAGGATGCAACTTTTTGTGGTAAACTTTACTTTAATTTTTCTTTTTTATCCTCACCCAAGGACACTTTTTCATTCCTTTTTTAGAGAGAGAAACACTGATGCATGAGAGAGGCATTGATTGGTTGCTTTCCATATGTTCATGGACTGAGGTTCAAACCCACAACCTGGGCATGTGCCCTGACTAGGAACTGAACCCTCAACCTTTCAGTTGGTCAGATGATGCTCCAACCAACTGAGCTACACCAGCCAGGGCCCATGGTACACTTTATTGATGTAAAATTAGGGGGGTTCCCCACTGACTTCCAAATGTCCCATCTCTATCTGTTTTGCCATGGAAGAAGTCCAATCTTGTCCTCAGCAAGGCCAAAGCAAAAGCCAGTGGCCAGACTTTCTGTTCCATTTTAAATTATAGTTCAGACCAGCATCTGTTTAGTTTAGCATGTGTGAATGCTAAGCTGGCATTCCAGCTGCAGCCCATTGCTGTGCTGCGGTATTCAGGTTCCCTCCTAGAGCCTCCATGTGGGGTCTCCAGGGCCATGGACCATGGGCTATGTGGCTACTAGGGCCACATGGCTATGGAGAGAGGCCATGCATGTGCATGGGATGAGTGCTGGTCATGAGCAAGAGAGAGTGAGCACACATATTAGTTTAGTCCTTTTGGAGCCTGCAGGTGATTGCTAAGTGACCTCAATCGTCATCCAGGTAGTTTAGCTTGTTCCCCTCTGCTCCGGTGGTGGAGTTTGTCTGGCTGCTTGCCAAGTGGCTGCTAAGGCCACACAGCTATGGAGACAAAACATGTGAGCCCACCAGGCAGGCATGGGTTTCTAAGCGAGGGAGAACTTTGTTCCCCTGGGATTATATTAGGTTGGCTGTGGGATGGACTAGGTGCTTTTTCAAAAGAACCAATCAACTTTCCAGACTTTCACAGACTTTGGAGGGGTCTGCTTCCCAACCAATCCCTTCCTTTCCTTCCCCTTGCTAGACTGACAGGCCTCTTTGGTCCCACAGTGTCCTCTGTGCCTCTCAATAGTTTTCTACTGGAATGGGGAAGGGAGGAGTGTTAATCTTGTTAGCAGGTAACTACTGTAATGCCTGGCAGTGTGAAGCTGTAGCTTCCTGGCCAAGCAGGCAGGTTTATGTTCCTCAGTTTATTAAACTCAATTCAATATCTTACTTGCTTTGCTCCTGCTTTCTCATCAATAATTAGCTTAATACCAATGGTAATACTTTTGCATTTGAACTGCTGGAATATACGTGTCATGTAGTTTCTGGAAAACGACTATACATTCATGAGAGAATGAGATTGGAAAAAGGTATATTTATTATAAAAGTAGTTTTTGTTTTCTTGCAGACTCCCTGCCAGGATCTCAGGGACTCCCTAGGGCAGGGGTGTCCAACCTTTTGACGTCTTCTGTGCCACCCTGGCAGAAGAAGAGGCCACACATTAAATACATTTTGACACGTAATCACAAAAAATATCTCATAATGTTTTAAGTAAACTTACTAAAACAGTAAATTTACTGTGCCTTACACAGTAAATTTTGTGTTGGGCCACATTCACAGCCATCCTGGGCTGAATGTGCCCTGTGGGCCACAGGTTGGATACCCTGCCCTAGGGGTTCCCTTACTATACTTTGAGAACCTCTGTTATCAGTAGTAAATTAATTCATCTGTAGAAATTAAAGGCTTGATAAAAAAGACTCTAGAAATAAAGATTGTTTAAAACTGTCTAAAAGATTATTCTTTTGTATCATCACATCCAGTCTGTGTTCTTATTTCCTTATTGTCTCATAATTTTTTATGTTTGTTGATGAGTCAAAGTTCACAAGTTATATTTGGTTAATTTGTCTTCTAAATTTTAACCTATAGTTCCCTCTTCCTCTTTTTTCTTTGCAGTTTTAGTTAAAGAAACCGGTTCATTTGCCCTTGTACAATTCCCCTCATTCTGTTTTTGCCTGAGTGTGTCTCTGTGGTGTAATTTAACATGTTTCTCAATTCTCTGTATTTCCTGTAAATTTATAGGTAGATCTTTACGGGCTTGATTAGATTTAGTTTCAGTTCTTTTTTTGTAAGACTTCTTAGGTGGCAATGTATATTTTCTTTCAATTCCATCTAGAGAATATCTTTTGTAATGCTAAAATTAATCTGTTCAGCTTAATTTACACATTATAAAACTTTCTATCAGGTTTTCTCTAATGATTTTAGCATCTATTGCTAATTGTTACCCTAATCCAATTTATCATTAAGATGTTGCAAAAGATATCTTTTTCAAGTCTTCTGAATTAATTAGTTGAGATTCTTCAGTAAAGATTTTATCTTCATTCATTACTTCATTAACCTGAAATAGTATTTGTTCAGAAATGGCCAGAGTAAAATGTTTGAGACTACACACACACACACACACATATTTTTTTATCTATAAATTTTCAGAATAATTAATTGGTGCCCTAGCAACTTTCAAAGATGACTAGAGAGTTTGTTTCCTTTTTCTGGTTTTCTTTAGTATTATGAACTTACGGATTTTTGCCTCTCATTTATTATTCCTTTTGTGCCCTATGTTTTTTAATCACTGGAAGCCCCTTCACGTTGGCTCCTTTGCTCTTGGCACAGCCTCAGTAATGTTTCATAATTTCTTTGTTTCCCGAAACAATATGTATTAAGCTCATTTTGTACATTTCCTTCCCCAGACCTGGAATCAGATACGGTGACCCTAGTTTAATGGAAAATGATACTTAGAGATTGTAATCTGCATGGCAGTTCCAGTTATCTCTACAAGGTTGTCATGTTATGTTTATTTCTGTAGACCTTTTGGTTGACAGACCTAGGGAAACTATGTAGAAAGAAAAATAATTGATAAAAAAATAAAAAGAAAAATCATGAAAAAATAATAATTTCTTGATGCTATTTCCAGTTCAGATGTAAAATTACAGAGATTTTATTAGATTCTTAATTTTACATTTTTTTCTCTTATAATACTGAAAATACTGATTCTACGTTATAATTATTGAATCAAATTTTGGTAAGGATCTATTCTGTTTTATTAGAAGATTAGTGTCACAGATTCAAATAGTGAAAGGGTCATCTAAACAAATCAGGCCTTTTGAGTCTCAACAGGGAATGGTGGTGCTTATGAACTGGAAAGCACGTGTGACTTTACTATAGCTGATATTTACCAAGAGGAAATCCAGGCACAGTATTGCTTGTTTTTTTCCATTTTTATAATGAAAATATACATCCAGATATATTATGTGAAATTATTTAGCTTTTAGATATTGACAACAAATTTATATTTTTTATGAGTCCCATTTGGGCCAGACAAATAATTTTTGCCATAGGCCGTTTGTGACTTCTTATGAAAAAGATCTAAGGAATTGGTGGTTAACCTAGCTTTTTAAATTCTTCCAAGCCTCAGGTAACCTGAAAAATACTGTGGAAAAATACAGTGGAAGGAGGAAGAAGACTTACTCATTTTGATTTTGCTAATCATGATGCATTTATTTATCCAACTTCTCTTTTTGAGCTTTTAAAAAAATTAAGCTTATTGGCTATTAACTTTGCCTTTTGTTTCTTTTTTCACATTCAAAATAGGAATTGACAACATCTCAGAAAAGTGGTGGAAATGTTCTTCAGATGATGTATGAGAAACCCGAGCGATGGTCTTTTACCTTCCAGTCATATGCCTGCCTCAGTCGAATTCGAGCTCAGCTTGCTGCTCTGAATGGCAAGCTCAAAGACGCGGAGAAACCTGTAGTATATTTTGAGCGATCTGTATATAGTGACAGGTATACATAAGTAACTTGTACTTATTAGTTTGGAACCTTGGCTTAGGACTGGAATTTTTTTTTTTCTGTTTTCTGGGAATCAAATAATAAGAGAGGCTGAGTTGGGGATTTGAGATGGAAAATGACATTTAATCCTTTTAGCAGTTTGGTGCTATAAGGTGGTCATATCATTCAAATTTGCAGATAAATTTTTTTCTCTAATCCTCTTAAAATTCTCATCTGCTCTGGTTAAATCTGAATCTATATTCTAGACTCACCTGTACCAAAGAGATTTAAAAAATCTCTGAGGGGGTCTTAGAATTACCCTGCTTATGCAAGGATTTTTTTAACCTCTAGAGTTAGCTCAGAACAGAGGTTCTCAGAACCCCTTTTCATTCTTAATAATTTTGAGGAGCCCAAAGAACTTGGTGTCATATTTGTCTTTATTTTATTATAAATTAAGATTGAAAAATAGAAAAATTACTTAAAATTAACAATAATAAACCCATTACATGTAAACATAAATAACATATTAGTGAAAATTATATTTTCAAAACAAAAAATTAGTGAGAATAGCAGCATTTCATGTTTTTATGAATCTAATATCTGATTTAATAGAAGACAGCTGAGTTCTCATTAATGCTTCTATATTCAATCTGTTGAATATATTTTTTTGGTTGAAGTATAGTATATAAAGTAATCTGGCCTCTCACAGAACCCCTGGAAGAGTCTTGGGGTCTACCAGTAGTCCTTACACCACATTTTTGAGAACCACTTGCCAAGAACATAGCTTCCTATAGTTGAAGAGATAATCTGTTGTTTTTTCTGCTGTCTAAGCATTATCTAACATTCCATTTAGTAGATCCATTTTGTCTTTTTTGTTTTTGTGTGTTCTTTGGAAAGAATTTGTGTATTGATGTAGGTTCTCTTTCAGGTATATTTTTGCATCTAATTTGTATGAATCTGATTGTATGAATGAAACAGAGTGGACAATTTATCAAGACTGGCATGACTGGATGAATAACCAGTTTGGCCAAAGCCTTGAACTGGATGGAATCATTTATCTTCGAGCCACTCCAGAGGTGAGACAAATATTTGTCCCTTTGAAGAATTTTTTTTAAAGATTTTATTTATTTATTTTTAGAGGGGGAAGGGAGAGAGAGAAACATCAATGTGCAGTTGCTGGGGGCCATGGCCCACAACCTAGGCATGTGCCCTGACTGGAAATCGAACCTGCGATGCCTGGTTCACAGCCTGCGCTCAATCCACTGAGCTACACCAGCCAGGGCCCCTTTGAAAATTTAAAGTAATATTTAGAAATCTTTTCAGTGTTATGCAGTGAAGGCAATTTAGTTGAACCTCACTCCCCACCCTCTAGCTTCTCCCTTCCAAATTAGAAACTCAGAATTGTGTGGATAGAAGTGTTCTATTTTCTCAGCAAACTGGAAATCCAAATTTAGCAAGTTGTTTAGGTCCTTCTCTGTTCTTCCTCTGTTCTGTTTTTTATTATTTTTTTAACTTTTGCAGGGTTAATAAGAGGCATCTAGATTAAGATATGTAGATCACATCTAGATTAAGAAACTTGCTCAAGTAACTTCTAGAATATAGGCTTCATGAGGTGGGACTTTTGGTATTTTAATTACTGTTGAATATCTAGTGCCTAGAATAAGGCTTGAGTACATAGTAGGAGCTCAGTAAATATTTGCTGAATGAATGGCATAGTTGATGGAGCATGTCTTTCATGGTTTGGGCTTGGAATGGGTGGCTAGTAGCAGCTACAGAAGAGAAAAGACTTAGTGGACCCTTGCTGTTTTCAGTTAAGGGAGCTTCTTACTTGAAAATGTGCCTTTTCATGATAGGTCGTAACATAGCTATTGTTTAGATAGACTATTATGTAATGAATCCAGGAAGACCAAGTGGATGCCTTTCATAAAACTAATTAAATGAGAGCTCACAGTTATTAAGAAACTTGTGGTTTTGACACTGACATTCCCATTTTTCTCTGTTCTTTATTTCTATTCTGCGATAAGTAGGTTCTGATGAATGTAAATGTTGTGACTGATAGACTGAAAGAAGGCTGTAATATGTTGAATTTTCAAAGAAAACTAGGTTTCTGAGTTCAAGTGATGATTTTGTTCTAATATCACATAAACCAGAATTTAACAATAATAATTTTGAAATTTGCTTCTTTTTTGGAAAAGAATTTTTTAATTATAAAAATAGTAAATGCAAATATAGAAGAACATAAAGAATACTAATGATTTCATTGTTAGAAACATTCATAGTCAAATCTTAAAGCCTAATACAAAACTATTTTATTTCACTAATTTTTTTGATATATTTTGATTAGAGGATCAATTAATTATTTGAAAAGAGAATTTAAAATAGAAGGACAGTTTTATGCTGAATTTTTTTTGTTTTTACCAAACTTTTTTAGACAGTATATTTCTAATATGGATGCCAGAAATTTATATACTTATTTTTGAAAGTACTGTATTGTTTAAAGCCAGTAAATGGTGTGAAAAGTACTGGGAGGGAAAAGGAACTATTTCAACTTTCTAGAAGGAATAGAGATTTTGGCTCATGTGACTAAAGAGACACTTAGAGAAGACAATTTTAATGGCATTAGAAAGGAATAATCGCCCCCCTCATCTTATTGCTTACTTTAGAAATGCTTGAGCAGAATATATTTACGGGGAAGAAGTGAAGAGCAAGACATTCCTCTTGAATATTTAGAGAAGCTTCACTATAAGCATGAAAGCTGGCTCTTGCATAGAACACTGAAGTAAGACTTCTTATTTACTACTTGTTTTTAATGCCATTATCAAATTTTAATTAAAAATGTACAATGCATACAATTTTTTATTTTCCATCAATTTATTTATTACTATTGTAGGCTGTGTCAGAATTAGGTATAGATTTTGATTCTTTTATTTCAATTTTCTTTTTTTTTTTAATTGTTCTTTAGCATCACCCTTTTTTTTTTAAAGATTTTATTTATTTATTTTTAGAGAGGGAAGGGAGGGAGAAAGAGAGAGAGAGAGAGAGAGAAACATCAATGTGCAGTTGCTGGGGGTCATGGCCTGCAACCCAGGCATGTACCCTGACTGGGAAATCAAACCTGCGACACTTTGGTTCGCAGCCCGCGCTCAATCCACTGAGCTACACCAGCCATGGCTTTATTTCAATTTTCTTAAAGATTTTATAGCCAATCTTCCCTACTGTTAATGACAGCACAATATATGGAATTTCACATTAAGTAATAAAGTAGGAAATATATCTATGTATATTATTTAGGTCTATTTTTCAGAGAGTATTTTAAGATCCAGTATTTCAAAGTTGTTTCGTAGATCAAGACTTGGGAGGTAGTATAGCATAGCTGTTAAAAGTATGGACTTTGTCACTAGTCAGTTTTTGGTTAAAATCCAGTCTTACTCATGTGTGACCTTGGGCAGTCTCTGAGTCTCAGAGTGACCCCCTTGAAGTTCAGTTTTCTTAGCATTAAAATGCAAACATTCTTCCTACTTTATGGTATGAGTTTGGTTTTTGAGGAGTATTACATGTCACAATGCCTAGCTTTTTATATTTTATACTTGAGATTTTTAGATGTGTAAGTAAATCTAGGTGAGAATGAAGGGGCTGTCAGATGAAGTACTTGTACAGTAATGGTGATTGATTTTTCAGTGATATTATAATGAGTTTTTAGTGTTTCTCATATATATTGCTTTTTCTAATTGTGTTGTTCATCTCTGTTTAAACAGAACCAACTTTGATTATCTACAAGAAGTGCCTATCTTAACACTGGATGTTAATGAAGACTTTAAAGACAAACATGACAGTCTGGTTGAAGAGGTATATTTATGTAAAGACTGTAAACTAATATTTGTTATGTCTAAAAAAGTGTTGTAAATTTTGGAAAAACAATTTCTAACAGAAAAGGTTATATAAAGTTACGTTAAGGGACATGTAAGAACTTTAAAGGGATTTAGACTGTTTAGAATTGAATCCTAACTTGAAATTCTAGCTTTGTGGCCTTAGCTAAAATAAGAAGCTTGTTAATTCTTTAGTTCCTTTGCCTGCGATACAGGAATATCACAAAAGTTCTTGCTCACCTGCTTCTCTGCTTTTTCCCCTTCTTTTTCTCTTCTCTATGCTACCAATCTTTAGATATTTTAATAATAAACTAATTATTTATTTTTTTTGAACTAAATTTGGTATGGAGGATATTTGAAATTCTAGGATATGGATCCCATCCATTTTTATATTAGCTGAAGTCTTGAGATTAAAGGATTTTTACTTTTGAAATTTATTTGGGGCCTTGTCAATGATGAATTGTAATTGTCTAATAGTTGAGTCATTGTCTTAATTAGAGTTCATCTATCCCCCAGGTATTTGGGATATTCTATTGAGTGAGTGGTGACTATATTGATAAAGTGACTGGGAGAGAACCTATTAATGAATGCTTGAGAGAGAATGGTAATGGGAATTATATAACAAATATCCCTATATTCATATTAATTAACTTAGGGATTCAAGATCTAAAGAAGCCACACTTTTTTTGTTTTAGTTTTGAAATAAATTTGATTTTTCTTTTTTCCTGTTGCAAAATATCTGCTATATACTGTAGTAGGTACTTGACATTCATAAGGGATATATCTGGACAATTGTAGTGACCTCTTTTTTGCCAAAACTGATGTTAAAAATATAGGCTAGGATTCACTTAAATGATACTATTAAAATAAATTGTCAGCTATTGTAGTACTAACAGCCAACCATCATTTTAACTGAATGAAGCTATAAAACTGCTTTTTAAAATTTTATCTTAACATTTGTTTTTGGCTAAGAATCATCATTTTGTATTATCTAGTTTTATTTTCATTAACAGTGGTAGCAGTTGGCATTCTTTTCTAGAATTTGTACACAGCAGTAATCGTCTTGTCAGCAGAATTGCTGGGTAGTCTAGAATATGTAGAGAACAGAATCTTGTTGCTGCGATGTTGTTTAGTTGGACAGATTGTCACTGCTTATATGACCTTTCCTCTTACATTAACATTACAGAGTATATACAAGAGTTAAGTTTGTGCTTCAGAAAACTTGCAGAAAAGTAACTAGGGGGAAGGAGAAGTGTGGCAAAAAAAGAAAAATTACAAATCTGTTATGTGTCTGAACCTTCAGAGTAGTTTAAACCATTAAACCATTGTAATTATTAAAGTTATCAGTGTTAAAGCTGCATATGTCAGTGGTCTGTGGTATAATAAAGAGATAAAATTAGTGATTATAAAATTAAAAGATTTTAAAATTAGAGATTATGGCTGTTATAAAACTATATCAATCTTAGGTTTAATAACTCTTATAATTACATTTTAGGTCATTCAGTTTTACTACTAAAGTATTAATACATCTTTTGAAAGTAAATGCTATGGCTTTGTGATGGTTGAGGGTCTTCAATTGTTAAATACTTTTAAGTGAAAATGAATGTTAGATATCTCAAATTAGTCAAATAATTATATTAATATATTTTTCTTTCCTTCAGGTCAAAGAATTTTTGAGCACTTTGTGATCTTGCTGAAGACTACAGGCAGTGAAATGACTCCAGATACTTCAGCTTCGTGTGTCTTTGTAGCGTCATAGTCATACATGTCTCTTAGAAAACCCAAGTTTTTAACCATTTTTGTTCCAAGAAAAAAACTTTTTTTAATGAATCCTGTATAAGATTTTATGACCGGTTTCTCTCCCCTCCCCCCTTTTTTCTCCCCCGTCTTCCTCTCACTTCTCCTTCTTCCCTCCCTCTTCCCTCTTCCCCCCTCTCCTCTCTTTTTTCTTAAGAGGAATCTAAGGAACAAAATTAACTAATGAGCAAAACAGATCCAGACGCATGGAAACATGGAACAGACTTACAGGGACCAGAGGGTGGGGGAGGGGGATAATGGTGGAAGGAAGGGGAAGGGATTAGACAGAGAACATGTGTGAATGACCCATGGACATGGGCAAATATAGGGATTGACTGTGGGAATGTGGGGTGGACTCGATGGAGGATGGCAAAGGGGGAAAAATTGGGACAACTGTAATAATAATAAAAAATTTAAAAAAAAGAAGTATGTGCAATATAATATAGCAACAGCCACCAATTACCATTGAGAATTTGTGCAAATGACCAAATCGATAATTAAATATTGCGGCAAGTCAAAAAACAAAGGACATTTAATTATCACTCATGGCAAGAAGTCGGGAAGTAGATAGTTCTAGAATCATTATAGTGGCTAAACTATATCATAAAGGACCCAGGATCCTTCTGTCTTTCCCCTCTATTATCCCCCTTAGCAGGTTGGCTTTTTTCCTGGTGCTTTGCATCTCACTGTTGACCAGTTCCTCAACTTGATTTCTTAACTGGAAACTTTAATGTTACATGGAAAGTGGTAATGTGTCTATGTGAATTAGTGCAAAAAGCTGAAAGTGGAATTTAAGGAATCTCTAGAAAAAATTAAAAAGTTTTAAGTACTTTTGATCCAGTGTCGTCTATTCTACCTCAATTTATGTGGAAGATAATATGTTTAGTATTTAATAGATTCGTTGATATTAGTGTGTCTATAATACATTCTTAGAGGAGCAAGTTAGGCTTTGTTCCCATTTATAATGGATATATCTGTGCTATGAGTGACACTTCGTCTTTTTGCATGGTATTTTGCATGATTAAAGAGGAAATGTTTTTATACTTAAAAGATAACTGAAGGTTATTACGTGAGTAAATGATCTAATTTATATAGAGCTTAAAATAGCTAACTACTTGCTTCCTTTTCGGACTGTTCTTTTATGAGGAAATAGTACTGTTATAGTTTAAAGATTGGCTTAAATTATGATTGTCTTTAAATCATTTGAGGTGGAAATGTAGTTTTTCCTGCATTTCTTCTAATTTTTATAGGTAAAACATTAGTGGAACATATAGTAAGGGGTAAGGTTCTCCATTTCATTCTTTATTGACTCTGCACTAGGAATAGTCTTGCATTACCCTTATACTTCGTAAGAAGTCAAAGAGAAACTGAAGACAAGGGAGATTACCTTCTTAGTAGTTTAGCTTGCTTAGTCCTGCCTTTATTTCCTGCCTCATCTGGGTTTCTCTACTCTGAATTAGGCAGACTGCTATTTTAAAGTCTTGCACTTATGATTTGAGGACATTATGATATTCTTCGCTTCAGAGTTGGCTTTGCTTCTCTGTAGGATTACACCTTAAGTTTTATTTCCACTCCTTTAAGACAATTTACTGATAAAAATGATTTTGCTTTGTATGTTATATATCTTGAAAGTATTATCATTTTTAATACATATTAGAAAATAAAGAAAACGGACAAAATAGTTATAATTTTTAAAACCACATGGATTCATTTTAGTTCTGTATATCATTACAGATTTTTTCAAGTTTGTTTAAAGTGTGAAGTTTTTTTCTATGTATTTACTGTTTCTATTTAACATTTTAGAAAAATTCTTTTTTGAAATGAGAAGAGTCACTTTTACTTTGAAACTATTGTTTTCTATTTAAAAATGTTATCTTTTGTTTCTTGAGATAATTTAGTGGGTTAAACAATCTAGATGTACTGACCTTTGAAAGGGAAACTACATTTCAAATCTGTAATCACCGTATTTAAAACTATCTCATGATATTATGTATGTTTTTTGTTTAGTAAACAAAGTCAATTTGGTTACTAAATTAAACATTTGCTTAATAAATAAATATAGCCCTGACTGTTGTGACTCTGTAGGGCGTTTTTCTGCAAAGTGAAAGGTCTCCAGTTCAATTCCTGGTCTGGGCACATGCCTGGGTTGCAGGTTCTGTTTCTGGTTGGGGTGTGTATGAGAGGAAACTGATTGATGTTTCTTTCTCACATCAATATTTCTCTTTCTCCATTCCTTGCACTGTTTTTAAAAATAAATAAAATCTTTTAAAAAATTAAATAATAAATAAGTATAAATCTCATGACCTGTAATGGAGCTACACTTATTAAAATAAATATCTTTTTACATAAAAATTCTACTTTGAAAAAATATGAGTATAAAAAGCTGACAACGGTTTATATAAATTACATTGTTTTTTAAAATTATTGTTCAATTACAATTTGATTCTGTTTTTTAAAAGATTTTATTTATTTTTAGAGGTGAAGGGAGGGAGAAAGAGGAGATGGAAAATCAATGTGTGGTTGCCCCTAACACACCCCGTTCTGAGGACCTAGCCCACAACCTAGGCATGTGCCCTGATTGGGAATCGAACCGGCAGCACTTCGGTTTGCAGGCTGGCACTCAATCCACTGAGGCACACCAGCCAGGGCTACATTGATTCTACTTTAAGTGGGGACAATTCAGAAGTTTTTGATAACCTTTAAAAATATTTAAGGGCTTTTTAAATTTATGGTATTGAAAAGAAGCTTAAACAAATCTATTTGCCATGACTCAAAAGCTGTACCACTGGATAGGCAAGAGAGTATTGAGCTCAGTGGTCTCCATTACCTCTTGGATTCTATTTTCCATATCAGACCATCTTCCACTAGAGTATATGTACTACTTTTTATAGTTTGCTCTCCTAAGAAGTTAATTGTATAAGACTTATTTCCTCATTCAGAATTTCTCATCTTCTATGCCTGAAACTTAGAGCACTACATACTGAGCACCCTAGAAATTTGGTCTGTCAAACTTTTAGGACGAGGAATACCAAAGTTTTTTACATAGAAATGTAAATCTTACTGCCAGAAAAATGCTTGATTAGTTGTTTAAGGGTTTTACAAATCCTGATTAAAAATAGCTTTCCACATTTGACAAATCTTATCTTTCCTTTTAAAATTAAAAAGAAAAACATTTTGAAATAGTTTCTGACTCACAAAAAGTAGCAAAATTGTTAGAGCTCCTGCACACCCGTCACCCAGATACCACCCTGCTTACCCACAGTGTGTTGTCAAGACTAAGAAATTGGCTTTGGTACACCATTAACTAAACTACAGGCCTTATTTGGATTTTATCAGTCTTATTTCTCCTTTTAAAAACTTCTAATAGATTTTATTTAGACATGTTTACAATGTATTTTATGTTCAATCTGTATTGTTTATTGCAGCTTTAGGTTCATATTAACCAAAATTAAGTGGAAAGTTCAGAGTTTCCATATAGTCTCTGCCCCTGCCCTTCCTTGCACAGCCTCCCACACTCTGGACATCTCCACCGGAGTGGTGCATTTGTTGCACTCATTGAACCTGCACTGACATATCACTCAGTCCATAATTTACATTGGGGTTTACTCAGTGTTGTTCAGTCTATGGGTTTTGGTGAATAATGACATGTATTCACCATACAAAATAGTTTCATTGCCCTAAAAAGTACTCTGTGCATTGTGCTTTGACCATCCCCCCACCCCGACCTGGCAACCACTAATTTTATTGTCTCCATAGCTGCCTTTTCTAGAGTGTCATATGGTTGGAATCATATAGTATGTAGACTATTCAGATTGGCTTTTTTCATTTAGGAATTTATATTTAGTTTTCCTGTCTGTATTTTCATAGCTTGATAGCTCACTTCTTTTTAGTGCTGAATAATAGCCCATTGTCCAAATATACCACTGTTTATACACAGCTACTGAAGGACAAGTGGTTGCTTCCAAGATTTGGTAATTATGAATAAAGCTGCTATATACATCTGCAAGTTTTTGTGTGAATGTGAGTTTTCAGTTCATTTGGGTAAATACCAAGGAGTACCATTGCTGGATCATATGTTAAGAGTATGTTTAGGTTTCTAAGAAACTCCCAAAATGGTCATAGCATTTTGCCATCCTACCAGCAATAAATGAGAGTTCCTGTTCCTCCACATCCTAACCAACATTTGGTGGTGTCAGTGGTTTAGATTTGTTCCATTCTTAATAGGTATGTGCTTGTAACTCATTTTAATTTGCAGTTCCATAATGACATATAATATCTTTTCATTAGCTTATTTGCTATCTGTATATCTTTGGTGAGATGTCTTAAGGTTGGTCCATTGTCATTTTTTAATCAGGTTCATTTTCTTACTGAGTTTTAAAACTTTGACTATTTTAGATAACAGTCCTTTATCATATGAGCCTTTTACAAATATTTTTTCCCAGTCTGTGGTTTATCTCCTGTTGACATTGTTTTCTGCAGAACAGAAGTTTTAAATTTTTGTGAAGTCCAGCTTACCAGTTTCTTTTATAGATTGTTCATTATGTTGTATCTAAAACGTAATATCCAAGGTCATATAGGTTTTCTCCTGTTTTATTTGTTAGAAGTTTTATAATTATGTGTTTTAGCTTTAGGCCCATAGTCCATTTTAAGTTAATTTCTTGTGAAAGATGAATGGTCTGTGTCTAGACTCACTGTTTTGTATGTGTATGTGTATGTCCTTGGTTCCAGCACCATTGTTAAAAAGACCGTCTCTCCCTCATTGTATTAACTTTGCTCCTTTGTTGAACATCAGTGGACTATGTTGGTCTTTTTCTGGCTCTATTCTGTTCCGCTGATCTATTTGTCTCTTCTTTTGTTAATACCATAGTGTCTTGATTACTGTAGATTTCTATATACTAAGTCTTGAAGTTGGATAACTTTTGTGTTTCCTAGAGCATGAGCTACCTAGGTTTAGCAATACAATGGGGGCATTTGAAGCTGTTCTAATAAGGTTTCTGTTTTTAAAGAATTTATGTGTAAAATGAAATTATGTTTTTCTTATCTTCAGTTAGAAAAATATTGAAAAGTGGAGACAACTTTGATATAATTCATTATTTCTCTTACTCTGTAATGCCTTGGAATGTTATCATTAATTACAAAATGTATTAGCACTGAGATCAGTAATGTCCTAAATGTTAAAT